TAGATTAGTTGCTGACTGATGAAAAAATGTTCTCAACAGAAACAAATAAGAAGCAATTGGAAAAATTCATTAGAAGAGGTTTCAAAGGCTTTAACAAGCATCACGTAAAGAGAAAAAATTTTGTTTGTGTTTCTTTCTCAACATTTTTATTCATTACTAACAGTCTTCAATGAACGCTCAACTAAGTTAAAGGCTTGTAAATTCACTGATAAAACAGTTGAAAAGTTCGCTAAACTTATAATAAATTTATCACGTTAAACTAAATTTTTTTTTGGTTTTTTAGCAACGTTAAATTAAATTAAACAAAAACAAACTCCATTTATTTATCACAAGCGATCGTTATCATCATTATCATGATCTTTAATACCGCCATCAACATCATCATAATCATAACTACTATCATCACAATAACTATCATCATAACCCATATCTTCATCATCACCATCATCATCAACCTTTGTAGTTAGTTTCGGCGTAGTAAAGGGTACTTGAGTAGAGCAACATGCAGACGATCGTAATCATCCTCATCCTTCCTCATCATCATCATCATCGTCATCGTCATCATCGCCATAACCATCCTCATCTTCACAGTCATCAACATAATCCTAGCCATCATCACCATCACTATCATCATCATCATCGCCATCATCATAAACGTCATCATCATCACCACCACCACCATCATCATCAACCTTTGTAGTTAGCTTCGGCGTAGTAGAGGGCACTTGAGTAGAGCAGCATGCAGACGATGAGTGTGGCGAAGAACATTCCCAAACCTTCGATGCTCGCCTTGAATGTTAGCACAAGGACCTTGGTAGATGATGAAACTTTCAATATATAACTATGAAGTTATGATTGTAATTATAATTATTATCATAATTATTGATTTTGTCATGACTATTCTCATCACTGAATCATCAGTAACGAACATCGTTGTCATCCTTTTAGGCATCACTTCGTCGTCATCATTTGGCTACATTTATATTTAGCTACATTCATATTTGGCTACATTTATATTTAGCTAAATTTATATTTGGCTACGTTTATGTTTGGCTACATTTATATTTAGCTACATTTAAATTGGCCTTTGTTGAGTTAATATTTTTATGTTCGCAATGCCGTCATATTATTATTAAATTTTCAAAAAAGTGTGTTTATTTTAATTGAGTGTTATAGCTTTAAGTTATAACTTTATAACTTTGTTATAACTTTAAATTTATTCGTTATTCGTTCAATTAAATTGCCAGCATACCTCATGTCACCAGTTAGAAGTACTTACTTGCCTCATTTCTCTCTACACTTCATCATTTTGAAAGAAATTTTCAAACAAAGCACGTTCATTTTTTGTAAGAAATATTTTGAGAATGTTTTGATCATAGAAAGTTTGAAGCACTCTCAAATGAAAAAAGTCCTACGCAGGTAACTTGATGCGTTGATGGTCAGTTGATTATCGAAGCGCCAAACTTAAGCATATTTTGAAAGCTTGTAACGCAAACCTCAATATCAGAGTTCTTACAATGAGATTAGTTGCTGGAACTTTTAAAATAATCTTGTCAACATCGGCTTGCTATCACTCTTAAAATGGGGAAAGCTTCAGTTGTAAAGTCTTTAAAGTGATTTTATTTATATTTTGACATTGTTATCGTTTGTTGATAAAATTTATTGACTAAAAATTTTGTTTTCAAAGAAACTTTTTTTAAAAACATTCAACAAAATAATGAAATGCTGATTGCTGTACTCCTGACGTATTTTAATAACACAATCAAACGTTAAAAAGTTTTTGACATCAACGCGTTTCTATTTTTTGTCTCTAAACTCATAAAATCATCAGTTGACAATGAGTTATAATAATAACGGTAAGTGATCACGTGATCGTTAAGTTGTTTTCATTGAAAACATGTCCATTATACGGGATGCTGCATTCAATGATTGGTCGCCTCTATTGCATAACAAAGCTGTATGTATGTATGTTTGTGTGTGTGTTTATTTGTTTGTTTGTATGTCTGCATGCATGTTTGTATGTATGTTTGTGCGCATGTATTTTTGTGTCTATATGTATATATGTATATTTGCACGGACATAAAATTTCCTATTTTTAACATTCATACAATTCTATGAGTGAATTTAATTATGTAGTTTGTCTCTTTGCGGATGTTTGTATTTGTATATAATGAAAAATACATTTTTAATACTCACGTACATGTAAATAGTTTTGATACGCACAGTCGCACATCAAAATACACACGAACTTACAGATCCGCCCACCCCACGCATACACCAAATGACATTCAACCAGTGCCAGTCATCACATTAGCGTTAATTTGCAAGAAGCATTTAAATGAAAGCACTAAGTGAAATAATTAGAAGCGACTCCATCTACGGACACTCCCGCTCTGCAGCGATTGACGAGTGCCTAACGAGATGATGTTGAGCTTGTTCTTCTTGTGATTAGCCGTGCAACAGACAACAGTTTATTTAGTTTAAAGATAATTTTCTTGCTCCAATCTTATTTAACGAACAAACTTTGAATGATTATTTCAAACGGGGACAGCTTGCATGCGTCGCTAATGGCAACAAAGTTAGTTTAGGCTAGTGGAGTTTTCAACTTATCAAAAAATGTCAACGTTTTTGAAGACTTTACGTTGAGATTTTTGAGAGTTTCAATAAACACAATTTTTTTATTGCAAACAGTTGTTTTTTTTAATGTAAATATTGCAAAATAAATTTTATAATTTACTAAACTGCACAATTTTTAAATTTTATATTTCTGCAAGTGAATCGTTTCATTCAATCAGCACGGGAACAACAGCCCTCGACTGGCAATTGTGTCTATTACATCATGATATTTAGCATGTACTGTACAAATTGACTGCAATAACACAATGCTTATTTTTTTTTATTTGTTTCTGCGAAACCAAAAATTTGTCACTAAAAAAATGTTCGAAAAACATTTCAAAAACTACATAGCAAAACAAACAAGCCATAATTGTTGAACAGCAGAAAAATGTTAAAAGTTACAACAAACAACAGTAACCACACAGCAAACAACAGCCACACAACAAACGACAATCATACAACGTAGCAACAAAAATCAAACAACCACTACACAGCAAACATCTGCAATAAACCTGGAGTCCAATAGAATGTTTGGTGAGTTTGAAGATGCGAACGAGTCTGATGACTCTCAAGAAGGCGAGTGCATCACTGCTGTTCTGACTGAAGAGACAATCTTTCTTTGTGAGAGTCAGCGTAAAGACTGTGACGTAGTAAGGGACGATAGACAAGATGTCCACAATGTTTTTGAAATCTTTGATGAAGTTTATCTTTGATGGGCAGGAGGCCAATCTGACGACGACTTCGATGGTGAACCACACGTTGCAAACACTTTCTATTATGAAGAAAGGATTTTTTGAGATCTGTGAAGGTTGATTACGTTTGTAAGGAAAAATTACATTAACAGAAAAAAACAACAATAAACAACATTGACAACAAACAACACCAACAAGAAACGACATCAACAAGACAAATCACACATCCAAGAAATTGAGTGAAAACAAACGAACCGAAGCAAGACAAGAGAATTTTTTGTACTGCGGCAGAGTTTCAACGCAGAGAAGGACAATGGCAATGATGGTCATGGTGACTGACGTTAAGGCGACTATGAGGGCAGGTTTTGAGGATTTCGGGTGTTCGAAGAGATCCCAGAAACATTTTTTAAGACCTTCCTCTTGCTGAGGAAGTTCTTCTTCTTCCTCGCTGTGACCTTCTTGGCGCTTGTAATCGTTTATCACGTGTTTCTCAATCTGTGCGTGAATAAAACAATAACTAAATTCAAATATCGGAATCAATTAAGTACTTTTATTCAATTTTTAAAAAAAATTTAAACGAAATTATAAAAAAAGATTTGTAACATTTTAAAATTTAAAACGCGCCGGTCTCGTAATTTACGTGATGTTAATTATCGACATTTTAAAATACAATTTTCAGAGTAATTTCATTGCAAATTGGCACAAGTTTTTAAATAACGCAATTTTAGATATGTGCAGTGCACTGAGATTTTCATATAAATTCATGCGATCAACAACCCCAGCAAATTTATAACATTTGTGAAATTTTATAAATAATGATATGTAAAAATTTCTGTATGAACAAGTTAGTGGTCTGCTAGATCCTTCGGTCAGTTATGTGAAGAAAATAAATAAATAAAATATAAATAAAATATATAAATTTGTAACAGTTAATACTCAAGTTATTTTTAACTTTTGGATATGTGAATATAACTTGCTAAAAAAATTCTCAACATTATCACCAACGTGAACGGGAGTGAATAAATATAGAAAAGTTATTATCATTCTGCAACATCATCTTATGTTTCCTCTTCTAGCCACATTACTCTTCATATCTTCATCCCCACTCAAATTATAGCTGCTACGCTGAAAGGTAATAATTATTCATAACATCATAAATTTAAGAGTCAAATTGAAACTTGGTTAAAATTGTTAGCTTTATATGCTGTACAAATAATTATACTAACAACAACAACAATACAACAACAATAAATACACTAACTAAAGCAGTAACAACGACAAAAAATGCAGCAAAAATAAATATAACATTGATATAGCGAACTAAAAGTTTGTCACGACATCAGCATCAGCAGTTTGAGAAACGTAAACTGAATTTATGAAGAACATCCACAATTCCGACAGACGATCATGGCCGGTGCAAACACGTAACGAATAAATTCAATTAGAGTTTTTATTTAGGGTCATCGCGATGAAAATTTTTGAATTTGTTGTTGTTTCAAATTGCAAAAATTGAAATTTTTACGTCACCATTACTGTCTGCCACTTCAATGAAAATTTTTATTCTACATCAAATATATAAAATAATACTGAACTAAATTCAATTTTAGAATTCCCTATCACTTTTCAACTAATTTCCAACGCTTTGAGTGAAAAAATTTATAATATCAAACTATTTTTTAAAAAATTTTTCGTTAGAGTTAGGTATATAATTGTTTTAAATGAAATTGCGTTGAATGTCTGACCTGGAAGAAGAACAGTTCATCTAGAAATACATCCTCAGGTATGAGATTGGGTCTGTGCAGTTTCTTGCCGTGGAGATAATATGAGAATATGACCTCAAACGTAGGTCTGTGTCGGTCAAAAAAGAATTCTTTCCTCAAAGGGTCGTAATATTTGCTGCGTGCCAGTTTGTTGCCCAGCAAGGTGTCCGGGTGTTTTTCGAGGACCGCAAGTCGGACGTCGAAGTACTGACCGCTGACGTTCAGTCGCAGTCGTTCCTCGAGTAAGTGACTCTCAGATGGGGTCTGAGAAATATCTAGTTGCAGTGATGCAGAAGATGATTGGTTGGAAGTCATGTGAAATGTCAGTGAGTTGTCGTCTGATTGGTTGGCTGGTAATAAAGTGATTGGTTGATTAGAGGGTTCAGTTTGTGATTGGTTATTAGTTGGGTTGGAAGATTTGTAAGTTGAGTGATCATTTATAGGTTTTGCATTTTTGGTTTTAGTACAACTGACTGACAAATTATTGGTTGAACTTTTTGATGCTTGATTCAATGTTTGAGTAGATGATATAGCGCTTGATTTGTCTATTGATATTTCATTTGATTGATTTGTTATAATTTCATTTACATCAATTGTTGTCTGATTGATTGAATGACTGGCTTCTTTTTTCTTTGACTGAATGTTTGATTCAACGTTCATCAGATCAGCTGATTGATTGCTTATTACGTCGAGTGGAGAAATGTTGGATTGCTTGTTCGGGCACGTGGAAAACTCATTGTTCGTGCTGTTAAATGGCGATTGTTCACTGGTGCAAATATTTTCTGGCTTTATGTCCGTCATATTATTTTTTGTTGTACAATTATGTCTTTGCAGATGATTTAAAAATTAATATCGAAATTATTTCTATAAACTTAATGATTTTTTCATTCTGGAATTATTCTTATTTATAACGTATTGAAATTAAAATGATATTATTAAAATAATCAAAATTAATATCTTCAGCTTTAATCAGCTTTGATGCTTGATTCAATGTTTGAGTAGATGATATAGCGCTGATATATTATTAAAATAATCAAAATTAATATCTTCAGCTTTAATCAGTAAAAATTCTAAAGAAAAAAAAATAAAATCCTCAGAATCTCTCACAATCTTCCTCTATGTATACTGAACAAAGACATTAAAACAAACGCGAACTGAACTTGAATGAGATGCAGGGTGAATACTTGAAGCACTAAATATATTTCTCAACATAGGAGCACTTGCAAACATCAAATTCATCTCATTCGCACTGGCTTCATTGTCTTATATACCATACCTATCACGTTCTCTCAATCTATTTTCCTCTCCTCGTTTGCTGCCTATATATGTATACATGTAAAAATAGGGATATATTATATGTATATAATATATATATATATATATATATATGCGTGTGTGTGTGTGCGTGTGTGTGTGTGTATGTGTGTATGTGTGTGTGTGTGTGTGCGTGCGTTTGTGCGCGCGCGCGTGTGTGTGTATATTTACATACATATATAACTATATTTATCTATACAGATAAGTGTTCACATATTTGTTTGCTTAAATCGTTTTTATCAGTCTTAAGTTGTTTACATTTTTAATTCTGCACAATTAAATTTAAATTTTTCTGAGAATTGGAAAATTTTTTTTATTAATATTAGTTAATTGTCAATCTTTTTATGAAATAATAACAGAAGCTTTTTTTTGAATTCGTGTAAATCAACATCAATTAAATACAGCAAAGAAATTAAAAAAAAAACATTTCACACATTGATATCAAACAGTTCAGTGGCACTTTTAAATATATAAGCATGTCATGCAATTATTGATTTTCCGAATGTGATGTAAAGCCTCAAATTGAAATGAATTTTATCATTTTCAAAGTTGAGAGCTGCCACGAGCAGAAGTTATAAATATAACGGAATGGAATGATAATTAGTTCTGTAAAAAAAATGATTTCTAAAGGCAAAACAAAAATTTATTAAACCAATAAAAATACGTACATCGAAATTGTTGCATTAAAAAAACTTAATCAAAAAGATGCTAAATGATGATATTAACTGAACGAGTCAATCATGAATTCCTGGCGTCAAATTTCAAGTTTTTTCACCAGAAATTTTTAAATTGAAATAAAATAACTAACATAAAAATAAATAAAAAAACATAAAGCGTGCATTGCGTGAGGTGTGTATAAATCTGCGAGAGCTAGTTTTTTTTTGTTCTGAAAAACATATGCAAACATGTAACAACTTTGTAGGCTTCAAACGCTAACAACAAATATATACGGATATGGTTTCTTTAAATTAATATTCTCCGTGAATGCAAGCGAGTACACTGCCACACGTAAATATTTGCACGAAACGTGTTTTCTATGTCCAGCATCATTGTACCTTTCAAAAAGTCGTCATCGATTGAATGACTATAATGATGATGATGAAAATGATGATGAATTGTGGCGATGATGATGACGAAGAGGAAGTGGAAGAGGACGAAAACGACGATGATGATCGATAATTGCGTGTTGGTCTGTTTAACGTACATCTACACGTGCATAGCAGTGGAGTTGATAGGTAGGAACCAGCTGAACAGGTGCCCGGAACGTCCATTGAAGAGAGCAGCTCATTACCAAGTACTCCTACATGAAAAATTTTCTAAACTTTCAAGTAGATTTTTTGGCTAATAACAATAATTAGATAGTTTTTGTTTTTGTTTACACAATTTATTTATGAAGCGGGCTGACATTACAATTGATAAATAAAATTGGGTTGAAATAAAACGCCGTTTTTGAAATTTAAAAATTAATCTAGTAAATTTTTCTCAAGAAAATAACATCTAAATATGAAATTTTTTTCCAAGGGTGTCATTTTTGGAATTTTTGTTATATTTTTACTTTCAAAAAATTGTTTGCGCTCTCCCGTCTCAAGCAAATCCAATTTATAAGCTTCTCTATATGTTGGTTTTCAGCGTGATGTTTCACAAAAAGGAAGTTCATGTTTCGTGAAGAGAAGTTCTTATTGCTCTGTTTTGCCTTTTTTTAAATTTCATCTTGTTCTAGACTTTTATTTGTGACTTTGTAGTCAAAGATTTTTATAACAAAATTTGTTTAGATATAGATCCTGTAGCAACCATGCTTTCATTGAAATTGTTGAAGTATTTTGCGAGGAACTTTTTGAAATTGTACAAACGTACGTGCTTCGGTGGATTATGATAAATTATTATTTTAATATTATCTGATCAATTCAAGAATAATTGATTTCCATTGCCAACTTTTTTCAATTTAACATACGCTGGCATAAAATTTATTTCTCTCTAAGACAAAATTGACTTTGTTAGAAATTGATTTAGTAGATTTTGTGTATTGCAACAAATTGCATTATATAATAATCATTTAATTTTAATTCTATTTTAATAATTTAAAACTCTTAAAAATACGAGATGAGGTAACAAAATTTTTCATGAAATCTGTCTCTCATACAACACAATAGTTAGAGGAAAGTTTCAAAGTGTGTTTTTATTGATGCTGCCCATTCAATCAGTTTGTTTCTAAAAATGATCAAAATACAAACAAACAGTAGCAGTTTTAGTTTTTTTGCTAGATGCTAATTTTATTTTTTCGATTTGAAAAATTAAAAAAATTATAAAAAGTAACAATAATGTAAATATAATATATAATTTTTTCAATTTGTTAGCATTATAGTAGTAGAAGTGCAACAGCAGCAACACATTACAACAAGGACGACAACAATGCTAAAAACAAAGGAATGCCACAGGAAAGGCAAAGACAACCAACATATGTACATGAGCCCGTCAAACGCAACCTGCGCGCTAAAAAAAACCCACAAACGACGAAGAAAAAATATAGATTTCGGTTATTATTTTGCACTATTTGTTCTTAAAATAGTTCACCATTACAATTTCATACATTTTAATATATTTGTGGTAATCGGATGGAATAAGATTAACAAAAATTGTCATTAATTAGCTCATCACTAAAAATATTACAGATTCAATACGTTCAAAAACTGTGTACCTTTTTTTATTTGGTTGTAAATATGATTTCTTCCCAATTAAAACCCCTCCCTTTTAATACTTGATTTCTATGACATATTAAAAGTCGTTAGTATAGAGTACCACTGTATTTCAATAATACATAAATATTTACAATATATCTTTATATTTAAATGCATATATTTGTAATATAATAATATATAAAATATTTCAATTATAATTCTATATGAAATTTTAAAATAATCTATTCCATTGAAAGTGAAATAATTAGTTTTGAAATATATTGTACATTTGTTAATAGCTCGTAGAGGAGACAATCAAAATGAAAGAAAAAAATTATTTTCTTCAAAAAAAAGCAACCAAACATACATCAGCAATCTTATTACAATAAAACTAATTGACACATTTAATAGAAGCAGCGATATTACAAAAACATGCAATGAAATCCGTCGAATCATATATCGCTTGCGTCAGCACCCAAATGAGATAGATTATTAGATATAAATATTCAAATTAAAAGCCATCCAGCCATCAGCATCGTCGTCGTCATAATCATCTTCATCATCACTTTCGTTATTGCCGTCTTTTCTTTTTGAATGATGTTAATGCATTTTTAACATTGTTTGGCATAAATTTTGTATAAGATATTGAAAACTGTCGCACTATTAACATAAAGACATTTGTAGTTCAGAAATATCAGCGCGAAAATAGAAACAAATAATCAAAATTTTTGTGAACCTGAAGTAATAATTATGCAATCAATATGTCGTTTTTTGAAGAGCAGCCAACAACATCATAGAGAAACAAAGAAAAACACTTATGCTTTGAGCGAACAACAGCCACAAATGATCAACCAACCAATCAACCATCGAAACAAAATGAAAGCAGTGATAACTTTAATAAGACACTATTGTTTATTCTTACAAATTCATCATTAGCAACAAAAATTAATTGTACCTAATTACCAACATATTTGTATAATATGACTGCCAACATAGTTGTCATCATTATTAATAACGAAAGATTGGACAAGGAAAACATCATCAATATCGCCGTAATTGACAGATGCGACAGATATTAACGCTAGAAAAATACTAAACGTCATCAATAACTTTAGGACCAACAAAACAAAAATACATTCAACAACAACCACAACAGCAATAACATTCAACAACAGCAGCAACAACAACAATCCCAACACATCAACAACAACAATCCCAACACATCAACAACAGCCGCAACAGCAAAAACCACATTCACAGCAACAACATCAACTCAACCTACGAATCTCATATTGAAAAGGCCTAATGACTTGCATGCATTTCTTCCACGCATGTTTCAAACGGGCGATTTAATTGAAAAGATTGCTCCTAGCGACGAACAGTGTGACAGAAGAATTTAAAAGTTTTGCGGATTTCTCTAAATTTTGTTTTATTCAATTCATGATTTATGTCTTCTACTGAAAATTTTAAACAATTAAATGATTTATTGTTCTTCTGAGTTATTATTCAAGCCGTTGAGTAAAATATTTCATTAATGAAAGGAATTAAAAGTTTGAAACTCATCAACAGCTTCCACCAATTTTATGCAATTAATCAAATTTTGTTTTTTCATAGTTTGCAAATGTCATGATTTACTAAAGTTGAAATAAAATATTTTTTTATTTTTAAAAATTCGACGATCTTGTTTTATTACTTTCATCAATCTTATCCATTTCTAAGGTTTCAGTTTCAATTTGTTTTAGAATTTAAAATACAAATTTTTCTGAACCAATCATTCGCTCGTTATTGTTTACTGAATTTATGCATCACATACAAATTTAAAATTAAACTTCATTGTCTGGGTTTTTTCCTTTTTGTATCAAAAACTGAAAAAAGTTTAAAAAAAACGATTTTCAAAATTTTCAAAACCTATGGCCATTCGTTACCTCACTGTTCGATCAATTCTTGTTTTCACAATTGTGTTTCTATTACACTCATTGAAATTAACACCAACACACACACACACACACACACACACACACACACCAACACACACACACACACACACACACACACACACACACACACACACACACACACACACACACACGGAAACAGTAATATTTCAGACTATACAAAAATCTATTGTGTGTATTGAACTTACGTAGACACGCACACGCACGTGCATCGCACAACTCCAACCAATCCAGAAAATCACTTGCATTTAGTTGCACTGCATAGAATTGTATATGTAATGAGAGTGTTGTTTTGCGTGTGTCGTACTCTGAAGTATGCAATTTACACTAATAGAGAGCCTTCCTGCAATTACATGGGCATTAAATGCTGATAAATAAGACCGAGCCAGCATGTGTATGTGCAGGTGAGCATGATGATAACATGTAACATGGGATGATGATGAGGAGGAGGGTGATGATGACGACAATGATGATGGTGCTGGTGATGATAATTATGATAATGATATATAACAACAACAACAATGATAAATAATAATAACAATAATAATAACAATGAAAGCCGATTTATAATAATTACAAGTCAATAATAACGTAATAGCGTGATTAAGAAGTAATAGAAGACTAATCCTAAGAATACCCAATAGTGCATTTGAAGCTAATTCATGAACGATGCATGAATAATGCATGCATGCTTTGTGCATTATACAGATGCATGCATTCATAATGCATCATTCATATGCAGATATGCATGATGCACCATGCATCATACAGAAGTAGGCACTTGAAGTGAATGATGGACTTGTTAATTGTTATTTTAAGGCCTTTTTCAAACACTGCTTCTCGTTTCCACGAATTATTACAGGAGCAACATAACGCCATGATTTAGGTTGTTTAATAGTTTTAAATTATGGAAAAAAATTTTTGTTTAAAGAGCTTTTGTGAACTAGATTTAAATAGAAGAATTTTTTTATCTATTATTTGAAAAAATTGTCATCTGATCGTAAATATTGTCTTTTTAAAAATGACACCTTGAAGATTCAGAAGAAGTTCCTTTCTATATATTTTTCGAATATGATTTTATTATCAAAACTACTTTTTATAAGCACCAAAAAACATTGAACGAAATGAAAGGCATAAATTCGACTTACAACTTGTGACACGATGCGGTTTGACGAAACATTCAGATGGACGGTCAATCATTCACATCCGTCCTTTTTCAAGCTGATCGATGATAGGTTTTGACCAAAGAAGTTTTGATAAAATAAATCATACAAAATTAAAAATAAAATTTAATTTTTTCAATATGAGTCGTTGTTTGAGACTTACACCGATACCCAGCCGATATTCAATGTCATCTACTGTGTTTTGGTTGAAACTTATTCAAAAACACCAAACTAATTCTAACTTGCATCTGAAAGTTTATTATGATGATAAGTGTGGTAGGATATTTTTAATAGAAAGTTTTAAAAAAAGCATGAAATGGAATGATTTATTGCTTAAAATTGGTGAACATTAAATAGTTCATCGCTTGAATTGAAAGCAGAATACATTGCATTGCCAATCACGTTGTATAATTCATCAAAGCAATGATAGCTCAGAAAGGACAAACAACAAACATCTCATGTGTCAGTTTTTAATTTTCTTTATAAGTAGGCAGAACATGGCACCCATAAAAACAACTCTTTTGATTCAACTGGATTATCAGTGGACTGAATACCTTCTCACTGCAATTCAAAACCCCGCAACCACAAACCAACTTCGCATGAAGACCGACCCAACTGGCGTGTAAGCCAGACAGTAGGCCTGAGACACAACAAACCCGTATGAAAATATATTTTGACAAATCAGACACTTGCATCAACAATTATTTTTCTACACACTTATCTGATTCATTTAACCAAAACCAAAATTAAATCTCCACAAAAAAAAACCAAAAAGGGAAATAAACTTACACAGCACATGTAAGCCCAAGATTAAAGATTAAAAATCTTGCCAGAAAAAAACGAGCTGAAAAATCAACAAACACACATAAGTATAAACACAGCAAAATTAATAAATAGGCATAATATGTTTGAATACTCGAAGAGAGCCTTACGCAAACACATCAACGAAGACATTTGTTGACAGTCTGCCGAGTCTATTGACCTAACACGCAGCTGTCTCACGTCTCAAGGCAACGCAGCTTTCCTGCAGTGTCAAACTTTTTTCATTATTGATGATTTGCAAAAGTCAGAGCTAATATGTAGTAATTCCAAAATGGCGCCTAAAAATAAAACTAATGGTGGGTCTATTGAGATATATTAATGTTGAGGCCTTCCATCTTGTTGGTGCTAATAAATAAAATGTTTTCATTCAAAGTGATTTATTTGATTCAACAAGAGATTTAATAATAATGTTTTTCAGTTCTTAAATATTATTTCAATTATTTTTGAAAAAAACAAATAGCAAAATGCTGCGGATAGGTGCAGACACACAACTAAAAACATTGATCAACAGTAAATGTGATCCCACATGTTCAACATTAAAACATTGCTACACCTCTCCGATGTTTGCCGTGGTGCTTGAACATACACAGAAATATCGATATGCAAACATACTGGCCACACTTTTTAAAATTTGATGCTTCACTTGGCAATTGTGATGCAAGACAGAAAATGAAATTATTATTTAAATGAAGTTAGAAATAGGAAAGAAAATAAGAGTAGGGAGTAGAAAAACAGTGCGAATGAAATTTGTGGTAAATTAATTTAGATTGAAATCACGTTATAAATAAAAGTATTTAGATTATATAACCAGATATTATTTTTTCTAAATTTCTGTTAATTTATGTTTTTGGCATTTATGAAAATGTTTCTTTTGACTGCCGTTCGTATTTATTCGATGGAATAACTAAAATTAATTAAAAGTAATTTTCTATTATTGATTTTTATTTTTATGCTTGCTAATCTTGTAACAAATAAATATAAATTTATAAAAATATTCAGTAAAATAATTCACACTAAAGTTCTTCGACACATCTTAAAATATTTGAATCTTGGGTGTGCTCTATGAATATGTACATTAGGAGTTCGTAAAATTTATTTCTATTTAACAATTATTATTTAACAGTTTTATGCACATCAGTACCCAAACTGGCTCACTATTTGTTTATACTTGCAGGTGTGTGTGAGCTTGGTGGTGTCTGCTTGTTTTTTTGGTTGGTTGGTTGTTTGACTGGCTGGTTGAATGGTTGTTTAGTTGATTGATTGGTTGTTCAGTTGATTGATTGGTTGGTCATTTGATTTGTTGGTTGAATGATTGATTGGTTGGTTGGTCGTTTCGTTGCTCCCTGAGAGGAAAGGCATGTTAGTTCATCGATACGAATGAAGACTTAATGCACGTCAAATCAATCTTGCCAATATGCTCCACACTCTAAAATACATGCTCCATACGTCTCGCACACCTCTCAATAACTTTTTCTTTTTATTATTTTTAAAATAAAGTTTGACAAAACAACAAAATGTCGACATTGCTTAATAGTTTTTTTTTCTAATGCAATAATATTTTCGCTTATTTGTTTGTCTATCCATAACAATTCAATTGCTAACAGGTTATTTCCGTCACGTTATTAATTAATCAACTATCGAAAATGAGTTTTCAAAATAATAGGTGAACGCTGACATGAGAAAAAACTAAGTTTCATATCAAAATGTATATGAAGTCAAGTTTGTTCGTCTCGTTCACGTTTGTAAATGAACAAAATGTCAGGTCATTTTGAAACGTAAACACACACACACACGCTCGCGCACACGCACGCACATACACACGCATGCATGCATACACATACGCAAAAACATAAAAATGAAACTGAATGCATTTTGTTGAATATCGTCAACAGAAATGTATAAAAAAAAACAATGAAACAGAATTAAATTGTAAACTTGCAATTTTTTTAACATAAGAACACTTTATTCAAATAAACATTTTCGATGGTAACAAAAGATAACACGGCGAATTAAATACGTTTCAATCTATCTTGGGCAATTTTTCGCATCAAACCGACCAAAAATGCTAATCAACTATAAAATAATTAACATGTTCTATTATCTCAATCCCGAAACTTAATTAATTTACCAAAATCAATTAGACAATCAAACCATCAGCCAACCAATCAATTAACCAAACACTCAATTAACTAATAAAACAATCAATTAATAAAATTAACAATCAATCGATTGATTGATCAATCAACCGATCAATCAATCAATCAATCAATCAATCAGTAGGTTTAGTTGTGGCAATCCTCTTCACTGATGTTGTCGGGACAAGCGCATGTTCGTCCGCCAGTGAGTGAAGCGAAGCACAAGTAGCGACAGCCCCCATCCTTGTAGGAGCATGGATTGGTGCCTTCGGACAAATGAAACAACATATACTAATAAGTGTTACAAAATTATAGTAAATGAACAATTGATTATATGTTTACAAATAAAATTTAAATTAAATTCTGACAAGAAATTATAAATGAGAATAAAAAACATGAAGTGTAGAGACCATGTGGACACGATGACTTGGCCACAGTAACGCCGTACAACTTGCCACTGGAGCCCTGCGGAATGCCGATGTCTTCCTTCAGTGACGAGTGCTTGCTCGCCGTCTTCACCACGTTCGCACTGGCCGAGGCACCGTGTAGCAAAAAATAATCGATTATTTCAGTTTTCTTTAAAAAGTTATTACATTATTAAAAAATGCTCAATAATGCTATTTAAAAAGTTAAAAAATTAAAAAATGCTCATTCTTACATTAAATCAAAATATTAAGTGGATAAACATTGTGAAAAAAAACATTAAAGTTAAAGAAAATAATTATTTGGATGTTTAAATGAAAGCGGTTTGCCAATGGCCAACCGTTCCCAGTCGGTCCAGTAGAACATGTTGCTGTGGTAGGCGAGACCGAACGCGTAGCCAGCATCCTGGTGCACCACTCTCCTATTCCTACCTTCATACGTTGTACACTCAATCTTTTTCTTACCTGTAATCGATTTGAGTGTGTGTGTGGTGTGTGTGGTGTGTGTGTGTGGTGTGTGTGTGTGGTGTGAGTGTGCGTGTGTGGTGTGGGTGTTTTATTGATTATTATGTGCCGTGTGTGAGTTCAATCGATTGTGTGTCTAATCGATTGTCCCACAGAATGGCTGGTCCAAAACTTGTTTTCAACTTGTTTGGTTGCTTTTATAATATATTATTAATCTTGTTATCCAAATAAATCAAGAAAAATTAAATACGTGAAAGTTTTTATTGCAATAATATTCAAAATGTTTTTATTTTAGATGGCTTAAACTTAAACTTAATCGTTTTAAATTCGAATTAATTTGTCTTAATAAATCTAAACGCTCTGTTACTATCCCTCCTATTATCTTACCTGATTCTAAAACTCTTGATGTTTCTCACAAGTTTCGTAGTCCAAGCTTTATCTTTGATTCTAGTATGTCTCTTTCATCTCAGTCTGCTAGAAGTTCTTATTTTTATCTACGTAGAATAAAAAAACTTTTCTTGACGATCCTACTTTTCTCCTTCTTGCTACTTTTTTTAGTTTTATATAGAATTAATTATTGCAACTCGTTCTACTATGGTCTTCCTAATATAGACTAATTTTTAAAATTTGCACATTTATGTATAAATCTAAATTATTTCCTAAGTACTTATTAGATATATTAATTGAAGCTAAACGCCCCGGTTTACGATCGTCTTCTTGTTCTTACTTCATCTTAACTCGTGTTAAACACTCTTTTGCTAAATCTGCATTTGCTTTTTCTGGCCATTTCCTCTGGAACTCTCTACCTACTTCTTTGACTACTTCATCACTTACGAAGTTCAGAGCGGATCTCAAGACCAATCTGTTGCAAAATTAAGGAGCGCTGTTGAACATTACGGAAATAGCGCTTTATAAACTAATTGATTGATTGATGACTTGTAAATGAATAATTAAAATCTTTATAATTAATTATAACAAACAATTGAATTGGAAAATTAACAATGAAAACATCAGAATGAATGCAAACTTACATGCAAACGATAAACCAAACTAAAGATTTACATAAACTGATGCAATTTCAATTAAAAAGTTTTTTTTTCAAAACACCAAACAAACTTGACAAAAATTTAATTAAAAGTATAAAAATAGTTAATAAAGAGAATAAATAAAATTTTAGTGCGCAAAAAGTGCACCAGGAGTCGAAGAAGACGGAGTTCAAACAAATAAATATTACCAAGTTCCACCTTTGAAATTGTTTTCATTACAAGATCTCGTGCCATTGGCTATCTCATTATTTATCAAATAATTGTGCTACATAGATGGTGGGTTAGTTTTTTATACACGCTAAACTTTAAATAAAAAAATTGTTTGACAGTGGATCGTTTTTAAAAATACCCAAATGAACGTTAACGAATCAAATTTGATATTTATGCTTAAAACGTTTTCAAACCAAATAAAACTGGAATGTTGAAAACTAATAAAAATGTCATATATAATAATAACAGACAAAATAATCTAATGTAACAAATTGCGATGATCAGTTTGAAAGAAAAAAAATGTATTAATTCATTGGCGGCAGCAGTTCATGTCGAGTGACATTCAGGGGCATGAGGACAAAAACGAAAAGAAAAAGTTGAACGAAATGATGTTTTCGTTCCTGAATATGATGCCAGTATTTTTTATTTTTGGAGGGAAAAATAATTATTTTCTAGGGAAACTTTTAGTTATGTAATTTCTATAAATTTCTTTTAGTTATGTAATTTCTATAAAAGTAATAGATGCTTAGGCTCATCTGTCTGTTTGCGGCACGTTATTTGTCATTAATATTTATTTAAAATACTTGAACTGAAGGTATAGGATTTCAGAAAAATTTTCGTTTTGTTAGTTCTTCGTAATAAAAGTTGGTATTCTTCAGAAGTGAGCGTCCAAATTGCATTATTTGGCCATTGCTCATTATTAATTTTCTTGCGCCCACAATTTCAAACGACGTGCATAAAATTGATGGAACATGTGAGGTGACGACGATGATTGGAGGCACGTAGTCATTCCTAAATGACTCATTCTACTATGTTCCTGCTGCTAACAAAATATTATTTTGTTTAAAGAACGTTTGTGGTTACTGAAGAACAAATTTTTAGCAAACGTTTGCTGTATTAACGAGTGAAAACTCTTGAATAAATTAAAGTCTGTAAACAATTCATTACAATAGTATGTTCGTTCAACTATTTCTGTGAAGTTAATAACGAGAATGCTTTAATTATTTCAAAATCACCTGAGTATTTATTCGGTTGCATGTCTGTAAATTTTGCATACTGTTAATGCATAATACATATTCACATGTATTATGCATTAACATCATGATTTAGATGTGCTTCCCTTCACATCTAAAATATTGGGAATCATTTTAATAACTTGCTTCAAATTTAATTCAAACGTTCTGAGGTCAAAAATTTAATTCGGTCCTTATATTTAATAACTGTTAATAATTATTTCAATCACGTACATAAAACTGTTTGACGAAGACAATTTTCTTCAAACTTTTTTGAACTTTGCACGGTTAACCAATTAAACATGGGAGAGAAAGAATGCCTCTGAACAGGATGGACTGACTCATCAACCCTTTCTCATCCCCGATCTGCTGAACTTCGTAATCTTATTTTCCTTTATGTACCGCGACCATCAACCGCATTGTAAATGTTGCAACGATGAATGAAATAATTATATAAAAATGTAACAGGGTTGCTGCGTATGCGTGCTGCATTGAAATTTGTTTTCACATGCTTGTGAGCTTCCTGCAATTGAGCCAATCAACATGGTTTTAGATTTTATGCATTAGTAATGAAATTAACTCATGGATTTAAACAGCCAGAGCAAAATTGAACAATGATGCACAAAGAGCCGACAGACCTGCGTCAGACCAGCACACAAATTGAGAATCGAGATCCAACGCCAACCCATTCGGGAGGCCCAAGTTGTCCGTCACTACCATCTTCCTCTCCGTCCCGTCCAAGTTCGATCTCTCAATTCTTGGAAACGTTCTTGACCAGTCCGACCAAAAAAGCAAACTGTAATATATTCATATATATTATGTGTGCGTGTGTTTGTGAGTGTGGGTTTGTTTGTACGTTAGTTTGTAAAAACTTATTTCTACATTGATTGTGTTATAAATGATTGTTGTTGTTAAATTGAAATAGCAAAGAACCCTCTCATTGGATCGACAGCAATGGCACGCGGGTTGGTGATGTTCTGCGAGAAGAGAGTTTTGACGTTCGACCCATCCAACTTGGAGACCTGGATCATATCGGTGCCGGAGTCTGTCCAGTAGATGTTGCCGGAGATCCAGTCGATGGCGATTCCTTCGGGAGAGCTGAGGTCTGAAGAATATTGGCAAATGACACGCATAATTTCATATCACCACTGTATTCTTTTTGAATTATTTTCTTATTTAATGAAGTTTAATCTTTTTGTAAACACTGGTCAAATAAACCTTTGATAATTAACAGCAGAATAAGAACCTAATAAGTATTGAAGAATTTGAATAAATTTGAATGAAAAGATTTGATTGCTCACGATCGACAACAGTCTTCACGTTGGATCCATCTGCCCTTGAAGATTTGATGCATCGGTGGGAGGCGTCTGTCCAGTAGATGTCGTGGTTGGCGCAGTTAGTGTCCACTGCCACTGCAAGCTGGCCTGTTCATTATTTGTCGATTGTAAGTAATTGAGTAAGTAAAGTAAAATAATTTATTTGCACACCCCAAAAAAGAAGACTGAATAGAAAGAAACCGAAAAAGAATATATTTTTAATTAAATCGGTCCCCGTTGATTAATTAGTTGGTTGGTCGGTCGGTCAGTTGATTGGTTGGTTGGTCAGTTGATTGGTTGGTCGGTCAGTTGATTGGTTGGTTGGTCAGTTGGTTGATTGGTTGGTCAGTTGATTGGTTGGTTGGTCAGTTGGTTGATTGCTTGGTTGATTGAGGTATTGGTGATATGGAGAATTTTAATTTTGTTTTTTGGTTGAATGGCTGTAGAGAAATTTAAATATTCATTTTAAAAACGTAATTATTGCGTTTGAAGACAGTACAACACAATTAATTTTCAAACTGTATAACTTATTCAATTTTATGTTAAAAAGATAATATAGTTTTGAGTAACGTTTGACACCTGGCGTGTATGAAATGTACTTCCCAGATTCTTTGTGGTAAGGTTTTGATGATATTTCTCCCAAGAACATGCCTTGCGCGTAGACTAACTTCTCATCACCGCCGCTTGTTTCCACCCCACCGATGTCTAATTTCATTGATGGTTAACAGTTCTTAGTTAGTTTGAAAAATAAGTCCAACTAATTTGTATTAAATTAAATTTAATTACACACAACAGAATCATTGAAATATTTTTTTTCAATTTTATATTAAAAAAAACCTCTATAACATTGGTGAATAACATTAACCTAACAATTTTGCTGAGAAACTGATAAAAGTTACAACCGAATGAGTTTACGCTTTTTTGCGAACGTGCAAGAAAGACTTACATGTGCATGAATGCATTCCATCGCCATGAAACCCCGGATTGCAGACACAAACGAAATCATATCCCTGCCTGACGCAGTGAGCATCTACGGAACATATCTCAGGGTGGCTGTTGCAATCTACGTTCGTTCGTTATTTTAGTTAAATCGATCTGATCTATTCATTTCTAACTTAACTTAGATGCATACAGTGAAACTGAAAATCTATTCCAAGTGACATTTTTCAAAATTGGAAAATCTTTTTAATATTTACTAGTTATATAATTACAAACTTTTTTTAACACATGCTCTGCCGTCCCCGTCAAAATCGGGCAGACACTGGCAGGTATATCTGCGCATGTTGTGATCAAAATTGCATCTGGCCTCGTGATGGCAGACACCTGGATTGGCTGAGCAGTCGTAATCGTGATGGTGGCTCTCATAATCGCAGTGGTACCCATCACCTGGTAATAAATTTTATTCAACGGTCTCCAGCATTAACTGTGTTAATTAATATGTATCAATGTATTGCGTTCGGGCGTTGTTAGCAGTGTGTCTGAGTCGCATGAAAAATATACGACTCCGATCCAGACTCCAGGTTCTCAAAGAATTTCGACTCCAATTCCGATTTCGACACTCTGGTTGTTAAACACATATCATCTTTTAAAAAATATGTTTCCAAGCCGTATGATGAACTTTTTGAGTCAGATAAATAAAGTAGATACTGGTGTTGTTTTATATTTTATAACATGAACTAAAAACATATGGACATTATAAATAATAAGAACAACCTCTAAATCCCGGCTTGCAGACGCACTGGTACCTGTTGTAATGATGATCGTACAGACATTCACCAAACTCGTGACAGTTACGAAGCTCCCTGCATGTCTCCACTCGTTGTTGCACTGCTTCACCTAGCGAATGAATAGTCTTTCACGTACCAAGTATTGCAAATTCATTCTTAAAAGTTTTTCGGATTGATAAAATAAAATGGAATAAAAAGTATTTTATCATTCTAATAACTTGAGTTTACCAAAGCTCAAAAATGTTTTTATTCCAATTACCATATTGCTTAAAATAAGTAGCTGGATCACATACAAATTCTTTGCCCCAAGAGTTTTATTATTTTTTGATTTATGGAAAAGTTTATTGTGTTAAATTTACATATGTACGCTTGTTAAGATGCTCCAATTCATTATCTTTAAATCTCCACTTACAACTTCTGCCATCGCCGTGGAATCCGTCGGCGCATGAACATTCATAAGATCCCTCCCTGTTTATGCAGTGTGCGTCTGCGTGGCAATCATGTGTCCTCTCGTAACATTCGTCGACATCTGCAAAATAGAAAATATATTTCTATAAGTAATGAACACACGTGACATGTTTTCAAAACCGTAATTTTTTTTTACAAAAATTAATGAAACTGGTCCAAAATTTTGAATAACAAGAAAGCCTACATTGCGTTAAAAGTTAGTTATTAATTACAATGAAAGACTGATATCCGGGGTTTATTCAAGTTTGGCAAAAAACGCAGAAAAATCTAATTGTTAGCCACTCTTAATTTTCTCATATCAATATTTCCAAGTTCTCTAATAAGCTCAAAACTGTATTTATGTAGTAGCTTTTCGACTTAGGCCTGGAGGCTTTCCGATAACAATTTGCTTATTTTGTGTAATTTTGTCGACCGGAAATAATTGAAACTAAGGCTAACGCAATTACAATTAGTTCATTTATGCGTTTACTAATATAATTTTATTTATTTAAACAAAGTAGAATGTTCCGCCTGGCTTTTATGCTTCAAAGTCAAAACCAGTAATTTTTTACTTAGTCAGTTTAGGACAGACTGGTGCGTAAAATTTCCCAGATACACAAATGAATATGTTGAAAACACTTTTATTAACCCTCGCAGTTCCATCCATTGCCTTGATAACCAGGGCGACAAAGACATCTGTAGCTTCCTGCGTCATCAGGTTGGCATGTGGACAGCGGGTGGCACAAAGCTGATTTGCAGGGATCTTCGCGAGGTGCTTTCCATGATTTTTAATTTCAATTGTTATCAATGAAATAATGGACGCTACCTAAGAGTTTACTTAACAGCTAATAAGTATATTAAAAATACAGATTAACTCAAATAATATATTTTATTTAAACAAAATTGAAAAAGATACTAAATAATTTTAAAATCTTACCTTTTGTAAAAATTTGGCTGTTCAAAGTGAATCTCAATGCTTGTGCAGTTGGTAGAATTGATATTTTTGATAAAGCAACTTTGAACTCAGAGAACCTTGCATCAAACTGATGATACTCGCATTCCATGAATTCAATTTCTTCGTCGACGGTAGCCATAATGGTGTTTGGGCCGGCTGTCAGACTTTGGGTGTACCGGGATTTCAGCTTTCCTACATTTTTCAGATAATATTGTAAAATAAATTTTGATTTACACAACAAAAAAAGTACAGCTGGACATTTTTACAAAATGAATTGTTTCAAAATCAAGATATAATCTTAATACTCCTATTTCTACACACGTTTTACAAATATTGCACGACATCAAATATTAGTTTTTCTTAATTTTATATTTATAATGTTTTTAACTTGAAATTTAATATATTAATTTTTTTATGATATTTTTCATTAAAAGCGCAAACATTTACTAACCAAGGCCCACACTTTTATATTCAATTTCTGTTGGCTTAACAAAAGCATTGCTACCGAAGTTCATGTCAGGCACTTCTCCGTTTACTTCTATTTCGCAGGCAATATTTTTTTCCTTTTCTTTAATACCAGTGAATTTTTGCTTGATTGTCAAAAAATGTCTGGATTCAGAAAATTGAACGTTGGTTGTTACTTCAAATTGAGCGCCTATATCGTGAAATGAAATTTAAATATTGGTAAAACTAAGTCATTCAGTAACAGTGAACAAACAATATTTTACTAAATTTTGATAATTAGTAAACAAAACATTATCAAATTATAAATTAAATAAATTTAAAAGTAACATATTCAGAAGAAATATAAAACCATAAAGAACAAACCTAAGAGGTTGAAACCTATTACATCAAGACTGTCTTTCGTAGGTAGGCCAAATAAGAAACCAGTTATTGATGTCAAAGAAAATAACATTGGAAAAAGGTTTTTGGTTTGTTTATTGACTGAATTAATGTTTATAACGTTTCTTCCAGTATTAATGTGGTTGACGCTATAAGCTTTATTTTTTCTCAAATTTTGACCATTCAAAGTCCCCTGAAGACTGCCCATTATAGTAATCTTTAATGGATGAGCTATTAATATAAATATCTTTATTTAACTATTTAGTTTGTTTTTTGAACAAAAAAACATTCTTTAGTAAGAAGAAATAATTACTTGATTGTCTGCTGTTCAGTTCTGATATTGCCATGCAATCAATTCCATTCCCAATGTAGAAGGTCTGACAGACGCAACAGTATCCTTGACTATAATCTACGCAAGTAGTGCCATCTCTACAAACGTTCAAACCTTGTGATGAACACGTTGGATGTGCAGAAGGTTGGTAGTCGATATGCGATTCAGAATGACCTGGTTGATCGGGTTGACCAGGGTAGGGAAGATAAGGATAATTACCGGATTCATCAGGGTGTTCTGGATAATATCCTGGTTGTTCTGGATAATGATCTGGTTGTCCTGGTTGCTCAGGATAGTGATCTGGATGCTCGGGATAATAGGCAGGTGGCCCTGGATAAGGGTCAGGCTTTTCGGGATGAGGATCTGGTTGTTCGGGATAATGTTCCGATCGTCCTGGATAGTGGTCTGGATGCTCAGGATAGTAATCAGGTTGCCTTGGATAGTGGTCTGGATGTTCAGGATAGTGATCTGGATGTTCAGGATAAAGGTCATGTCGTTCGGGATAGTGGTCAGGTCGTTCAGGATAAAGGTCAGGTCGTTCGGGATAGTGGTCAGGTCGTTCGGGATAAAGGTCAGGTCGTTCGGGATAGTGGTCAGGTCGTTCGGGATAGTGGTCTGGATGTTCAGGATAGTGTTCTGGATGTCTGGGATAGTGGTCCGGATGTTCAGGATAGTGGTCTGGTTGCTCGGGGTAGTGGTCCGGTTGCCCTGGGTAATGGTCTGGTTGTTCAGGATGCTCTGGATAGTGATCTGGACGTTCCGGATAATGATCAGGTTGTTCTGGATAGTGATCAGGTTGATCGGGATTTTGTGGATAATATTCTGTCTGCTCTGGATAATGTTCCGGATGACCATGGTAATGACCTATATTTTTGTTTAACGTTTTGTAATTTTTTAAGGCTGTTAAAAAATAAATCGTTACCGTCATCACTCTCGGTGGGAGCTTCAATTTTTGGTTGGCCATCACTCGACTTCCCGACACTGAACACCCATACTCCTTCCTCACCAATGTTACTTTTTCTTAAATAATTCAATAGCTCAGGTTATCAAAACCAAATAATTTAAAACAAATGTAAATTAAATCCGGCAGGTTTTTAAAAGTTTAAGATACATTTTTTGTAAGGTCATGAAAAATACGGTTATGAGTTGACAAATGTGCTTGATACATGTTAATAAATTGCGTTCGTTGCAATAAAGTTTTTATAATAATTGAGTTGCATAAAATTTTATACTTTTTGTATTATTTAATTATACATGCAAAATTACTAAAGTTAGATATCTCTTGTTTATTTGTGTTATTTAAAAATAAAATAATGCCACAATTGCATTCACATTGATATGATAATTTGATAATCTATCTTATATGAACGCTTAAACTTTCGTCCTGAACATTATAGTTTAAGTAAAGTTTGTTTAAAATGTAAATTATTACATGAAATATAAAGACAAAATCTAATTTTTAGGCGTTGAATATAATAAATATTTGTTTTTTATTCATTCGAATATCAACAAATATATTATTTTACACTAACCGATTTCTCTTATACAAAAAAGTTATTTTCAACCAGTAAACGAAAAATTGAGTTGAGGTTTAAAGTTAAAAACAATAAAAAGTTCTGAAATAAAACGCTAGGCAACAACTACCTATCCAAATAACGAATATCTGGAGTGCCCTGTCCAGGCAGAAGGTAGTACTGATTGTTGCTGCCCGCGTCCAAACCAGCCTGCGCAAGCACCATCTCTCCGCTGTGCCTTCCTTCCATCTGGAACCAAGAAATGCCAGCAGTTGGGTAAAGGATTAAAACGTAAGATTTCTCTCCTCCCGACGCTAAGACCGTTTGGAACGTGTTAACCTGATAGGTATACGACATGTCTGTTTATAACCAATATCTATTCTATAAAATTCAAGGTACTTTGATTCGTCGAGTAAATTTTTGGATGAAATTAAGTGTCAGTAAAGATTTTTATCAAGATGAAATCATAACGACAAGTTATAGAAAAAAAAGAAATTTTATCAAAAACCTGATCAGACGCTCCCTTGTAATGTCCAACCCCACTCCAAGTGGCGATGAATAGCCATTCAAGTTGAAATTGGTGATACGGAAAAGCTTTTCTTATATAAGTTGTGGCTTTTTCCAATAAATTGGCATCTCTAGTTTTTCTGTCAATTTTTCGAAACCATTAGATTTGTTTAGCGAACTATTAATGTTTTAAACATATTAATGGTATTCTATTTATAAATTTTCAACAAACAACTTCAGTTAAGTTTTTCAAATAAAATTTGTCTCTTATTTCAACAATTTAAACACCATTTAATTTGAACTTAAAAAATAGATTAGGACACATTCTAGAATAATAATTAATTTCTATGATTTCGATTTGTTATATTTTCATCAAATTTAACTTATCTTGGACAATTCTAATTCATTATCGCATACAATGGAATTATTTTGCTCAGTAATTTGCTGAAGACTAAATATATTTTCAACTAGAAACATATATTAAAGCAAATCTATTGATCAATTTTTATTTTCGTTAAGCTGATTTCATTATTTATTAAAATCGTAAAATTGCGTATTTATGAAAACCTGTGATAAACTCTTCCTGAGACTGTTGTGTCGACATCAGCATAAAAGGGTGCAATGTATGGATGATAAAAAGGAATCTTCAGATCTTCTCTGAAGCCAGGTATTGGTGCAGCAAACGATACGAAACCATTCGAGTGTACCTTAAATAAAATGTTCATCATACTCAGCCACACGTAAAGCATTGCAATTCAATATTAAATTGAACATTGCAATTTTAAATGTTAGTTTCTATTTACACCTTTATTAGAAGCTTGAACTTAATAGAAATTCAATTTAAATTTATTTCAAAGTCAAATGGCCTTTCCTCGCAAATTTTTTTCAAAGTTTTCAAATTTTGAAAAATCTACCTCAAGTTTTAAGATTTTGAAAATTAACAATTCTTCAACAAAACATTTTTCTGAAGAGACGATTTTTATTTAATATTCTTAACCTCGACTTTAACTTAAATCACTATCTTCTGTCCATTATTTGTCCACCCATTATTAAGACAGTTTTCAAGGTAACTGCTTAAAATTATTGTTATCTTTGCCCTTCTTTTAATTTTTTTAATACATCAACAGCAACTGTTACGTCGCGTTTTCATAATTTTAAATTAACAAAGAATCTTTTCTAAGCTATTTTCATTATATTTTCTATAACATTCTCTGAAAACCTTGCTCAATCAAATGACGGATGAACCACATACATTGATATTTAAAATTTTGATAATCCAAAATTCTCGGTGGCATAATTGTTTCTCTTTTTCTTGTTTATTTGCAAAATATAAGTTTAACAAATTACGGCCCCTATTCATCTGCAATACTCTAGATTTCAGATCAACCCCATTTCCAACATCAATCTTCATTACACCTTTTTTTACCTGTGGAAGAATAACTTGCATGCATGCTTGCGAAGATAGAGACATTAAAATGTGAAAAAGTTATGTTTAAAAAAATAGTACTCAAGTAGGACATTTTAACGTTGTAGTCCGTTATTTTTAAAGAAATTGAACTAATTGATTTGTCAGCTAACCTATATTGCCTATATATATAACCACATATTGCCGCTTTTGAAAGGAAAATTATTATTATGAGTTGTGAATAGAAGAAGGTAAACTGGAGGAAATAGGAATGGCTTTTTTGGAATGGAAGGAAATGGAAAAATTTCTACTAGGCATCATAATAAACGGAAATAAAATGAGAAATAAAGATAAAAATAGAAATGACTTGGAATGAATTAACAAATTCGGTCCACTTTTAATATATATGAGCAATATGTGTGCACATGTATATCATACAATTACAATGGCAGTATATTTTATATGATGATGCAATGAGGTGAAAAATTGTTGATTATGATTGAAATAAATTTTTGTATCTATTTAGGTTAATCAATGGTGTTTAACAAATGGTCAAGGGCTTGAAGAAACTGCTCTTTGTGTAAATATTTTTATTAGTTTAATTTTTTATAATTGAATCACGCTTTCAAATGAATAAAACACAATTGAGAAACACACTGTTTTAATATTTCTATTTATTTATATTTTATTTAATTAATTATATCGTTATTCGCACATGCCAATTTAATTTGAAATTTTAAAAACTTAATTTTTACCACGAGGGATTCCTGTTCATCATCGAGATAGTAGAAAATTGAAGGTAGATCGACTTCAGCAAATGTTTCATCTCCACTCGCCATATAATTATCATCCACATCTTCTCCAAAGGCAAACAACTCCTCTTCACTTACACAGTTAACAACACTTATTTCAACCAATATCACCACTAAAACAATCTTAAAAACATTATAAGCAGTCTTAAACTGCATTGTGGTGTTGCGATTAGTTTGTTACAAATCAAATGATCAAAATAAGAATTATTTAATATAACACTATTGTTCAAAAACTATTATAATAAAAAACTTAAATTGAAAAATTATAAAATTAATAACAAGTAAATGTTACTCTAGCCAGCAAAGCCAGCTACTATGAACTCTGCGTACATAAAACTGGCATCTTCATTTATTGTTACCAAACTTTGTAATATACGTACTTCCAAATTATACATGTGTGTGCGTGAGCCTCGCTATACATGATAATGTGTACGTGTAATTTGATATATCTATGCATTCTAGTGTATAACGTGTGTGTGTGTGTGTGTGTGTGTGCGTGTATATATTTATATGTACATGAATATAATTGTGCGTGCAATATCTTTCCGTTGGCGAATGTATGCATGTACTACAGTTAAAATTGAAAAACGCGTGCGATAAGTGCCTTATAAATTATCATGTTAACACTCCCCAGCATCATCACAGTTACTACATCTTGTTACTCATCATTTGAAAATTTTGAATAAAATTTAAAATTTTGAATAAAATTTAATGTCTAACCAAATGTGCATGTACTGATGTACTGCATGTTTCATATATATATATATATATATATATATACACACATACATATATATGTATATATATGTGTGTGTGTATTGTACACACATTTATCTGTATTTTACGTGATTTTGTTTGTGACATATTTTCCCATCTTGTATATTTGTTTTGTATGTCGCTCCCTTATTTTGAAATCCGATTTCATCTTTCAAATATTTGTTTCACATTCATAATTAATGATTACCAGTAGTTTTTGTACATTTTATACGACTTTATCATAATTGTCTAATAAAATAAAAATTGTTTGTGAAAGTTCATTTTAACAATCTGTTTGTAGTTGGAGCTGGAGAGTGGTGGAATAACATGCACCATCCGAAATGAAATATGTTCCCAGTTAAGATAATTGAATAAACTCTACCCATTGAAACAATCACTTAATCCCCATATTATCGTTGTGCGCCTGTCGACGAATTAAGTGGAGTGAAATCATGAGTCAGCACATGTTTCACATCATTCCTTTACCATTATTCCTTTCTTTCTAAGAATTTTTCGAAAATTTTTGTTAAAACTGGCAGCATCTGATTCACTTTTAAAGGCTAAAAATTTGTCACGGAAAGAAATGACACATCATTGAAACTTTCAAGATCCTTCCTTCAGAACCTTATCAGACAATTTGTATAATTTAGTAGCGGATTCGTCGCAGCAAACTCTTCAATGCTGTGATGAATCTGTTCTGTTTCTTCAACGTTACATAACGAGGAACGTGCGTAACATAACGTGCATGCATCATTCTCATCATTCTCTCCACTCTACGATCACTGAACATCACACACGTCGTCACCCTTTGTTGCAGATTGAAACACGTACATACTCATTTACGTACGCATACAATTGAAATTTGAATTGTGTGCATGTGCATGTTAATGTGAAAAGAGATCCAGAAAGAGAGAGAGAGAGAGAGAGGGAAGAGAGAGAGAAAGAGAGAGAGAGAGAGAGAGAGCAGATCTTAAGAGATGGATATTGTTATAGTTATAACCCACAAACTTATCAGCAAGCAAACTCGTTGCGTACACGCACGCACGCACACACAGTCACTCAAACAAACAAACACACATACATTTAAATAAACTGAAAAGATCTGTTTTCCATAAGACCTCGTGTGAATGCTTCTTCACGTTTTGATGTCTTAAAGTTAATGTACTTTGCAGATGTTCTGTTCTTCTTCATCTTATACAGTTGTTGATTAAATTGTTTTTTGTACAGCAGACGCTTTTCTGACAAAGTAATGTTTTTGTCCTTGTAAGTCGTATTTGATTTACTATTTATAGTTTTTTTTTCAGAGAAATATTTTTCTTTTCTACGAACGGCATTTAATTGACGCAATTTTTTTAAGTAGCTGGCGAAAAATTTCCTTTTAACGTATGAGCCATGGAAGGTGGATGGGCGTAGGTCACATCATATCAGTTCAACTCCATCACGTACGATTCCGCATATACTCACTCAAAATTGAAAAATCTCCTTCAGAACTGATCTTCTTTAAAACAGCAGCAGTCGTACCTAGTAAGTATATGTGGATTATACGATCCAGATTGAATCACTAATAATTTGTTTTCAATAGAAATACCGTTGAACAAACGAACTATGTCACATTTGTTTTGATGGCTCAGTCAAAGAATTAAATAAACAAAAACCACTTATTATATCCTTCTCCCATAAATGTACGCATGTCTGTGTGTGTGTGTTTGAGTGGGTGTGTGTGTCTGCGTGTCTGTGTGTGTGTGTGTGTGTGAACGGGCACGCTGCACTCACAGTGCCTATAGCATAAAGGCGTTTGTTTGAGTTTTGTATGTTTACATGTATGCTTCTTTGTGACTTGTGTAGGAATATCAACAGTTGAAAATTTTTTTTCATTATCAGACCCATCTGGGAATGGCAAAAAAAAATAAAAATGTATACAATTTTTGCCGTTAATTAAATAAAGCAGATTAAATCTCTGGCGTTAGCACGTTTTTTAATTTAAACTGTTTCTTCTGTTTATTTCATGCACCAAAACGTAATTGAGTTCTTGCATTTTAAATGTATCTGTTAATTTTTATAGTGCAGTTTACGGCATTTCAGTACATTGAAAAAGCCTTCTTCAACAATTTATTCATTAAATTTGAAGAATTTGGATTATTTTTTGTATTTTTCAAAATACATATGAATATTCAACATGGGGTGTGTGCACGACGATAGTTAGTTATATTCAACCTTAACAAATACTAATTATTAATTAATTTGTTTTAAGCGTTTCCGATTTGACTTAAAATTTACGGTGTTCTGTAGTGCTTTTCCGAAGTTTTCTTTGTTATTTTTCCGAATGGATATTATTTACGATTATATCAGTTTAACATGACTTATCTACCAGCAGCGTCCAAATTACAAAAGTACCATTTTGTGGCTTCGCCGATGGGAGCAGGCAAGCACGGAACGCTACTTATTTTCTGGTCTTCGTTTTTGAAAAATTAAATTTCAAAATAAAAAGTTCGAATAAAATGTTGTTCAATATTTATTGTAAAGCCTTATTAAACGAACTAATCTACTTAAGAAATTTTAATCAGTTTTGAAATTCTAAACAATTTAAAAATAAAAAAAATAATGAAATATAATTAAAAGTGTTTTTATAAAAATTATTACAGGAATTGAACTATAGTACTTGAATTAACCCAACCAATCATCTTCAGGCATTTATGAACTACAGTTGTAAATTAAACGTTGATCGTCATCTCCATCTTTGCAGCCAGTTAAGTATTCAGTAAAAAAAAAATAAAATAGGATAATTCTAGCTTGAAAATCCAAATTCAAGGTTTCATTTTATTGCATTATAAACTTTAAAAACAAAATTAACAATTGCTGGAGGGATAAAACCATGGATGGATATATATAATCCATGGATACAACATACATTTTTTATTCACGTTTGAAATTATTTGGTTTGTTTGAATCTTGGACATAGAATACTTTCAGAATTTTATAGTAGTTTCGTATGTAAACAACTAAGAGTTATTGTTCAAATGTTCAAATATTTTAATTCAGAAATGATTTTCTTAATATTAAATAAAGATTCTAAGTATAAAAGTGTTGGTGTATTTTAGTGGCAAAGAAAAGTTTGACTGCTACCAACAACCTAGCGAGCAGCTTTAGTTTATAAACATCCAATGCTTTAGACTGAAGTAATTATTATTTTTGTAATATACGTAACTTTAGAAAAGAACTTCGGAGCTTAAGAGATATTTATAATAAATTGAGCTCAAAATTAAAAAAAACTGTTTGTAAATTTTGGAGTTTCTATTAGTCTGTCTACAACTCTTATCTTCGTGGCACATCCAACAATTTACAATAGAGTTGGCTTGAAAATTTTCATCTAAATTTCAATTTTGAGAATAATTTAAGTAGGGTTTTTATTAAGGTTCCACAAAACATACTCCAGATTAATATGAAAGCCTAGCTATTTATACCATTTTAAAAAAGTTTAACGAAATGGTTATCACTAATGCTAACAACGTTTACAATGGAACTTGAATGAGAATTTAAATGGTTTCAAATGGTTGTTTGAATTTAAACTTGGAACAGAAGCTGCTGGTTTTGAAGATATGATGATGATATTCCGAGTGTCGTGATGGGATGATAACATATGGTGCCTAATGAATGAATGATGAATAAGTTAATGAGATGGCTTATATTTCCGCATCACGCATTAGAAAATCGCAAAACCGAAATACTTTTAATACCGAAGTTAATAATTTCAAAAATCACAAAAAGCGGCAAAATAACAAATGAGTTATTGAATGACGTCAGACGTTATAATTAAATTAACACATTGATACCAGCGCGCGAAAATATTCAAAATCGATGCAATAAATCTATATTCGCTATTTCGGCTGACTAAATTGTGTTTGTTTAAAAGGACTTAATTAATTTTGTCTCCTATTATATAAAATAAGCAATTTGAATGAGTTAATTAATTAATTAATTATTAATTAGTTAATTAATATAATTTACTTGAAAGTAAAATGTTCAACTTCCACGTGTTACGATATTTTAAAATATAATATAATCAACACGTATACAAATCAATAGAATGTTTCAATGTACAGTATTTCTATTGTACGCGTATAAACAAATGAACAGTATCGACGTTAATGCACATGCTACAGAGAGTTTTATCATCACAAGCTGTTGCATCCAGCCTTTCCTATCGTTTCCTGGTTTAATTATATCTCTCTAACAATTTATTTTTGTCTAAAAATGAAATATCTATGATTTGGAAATATTTGTCGTCTTATGATTACTGAATAAAAATATGCCATCATAAATATATTTTTAATACGACTGCCCATTCATGTCAAGGTTCATCGTGTTTAATTGTATCGTTTTTAATGTTATCTGACCCAAAAAGTCGTTGCTTTATAGAATTGAAATTGTATAAAAGTTTGTCACTCATGTAACTGAATCCATTCAACCACGAACTTGCTTTCTTTTTTCCTTTTTTCCACTTTTTATAATCCAAATAATCAACTTCATTCATAGTGCCGATGGTTGCTTTAATTTCTTGCGGTTCGTGCTGCACAACTGTTGGATCGAATTCTTGAAGGGGTCTACTTCCATCTGCTGCCTGCTCTTCCAACTCCTGTTCATGCTGGTGCGGATCGTACGCACTTTCGTGGAGCATGTGTTCTGGGTTAGCTACTTTGAACTCAACGGCATCTGTTGTTGTTCTGTCATTCCTCTCGTGAACATGACCATCTCCTCCATGTAGCAGCGCCTCCAGTTCATTATCAACGTTATGATTAACACCGTCGTCGTCATGTTTTGTGGTTGTTTTCAACTTTTCGTGCCTTCCATGAACCTTCTCGCCATGTAAAATGTGCTCCGGATCGGCAGCTCCAACAACTTCTTCATTCGGTTCCTTATTAGAAATGGTGGTCCTCGAATGAACGTGTGCATCTCCTCCGTGGAGAACTGCCTCCTGGTCAAACGTGCCAAAAGGAATTTTATCGTTGGCTGGTTCAAAAGAGCGATGTTTTCCCGAGTGGACATGCTCCTCTCCACCGTGCAGCAGAGCATCCAATTGTTCTGCCATGTCAGGAAATTTGGATTTTTCCTCTGTTGTTTCATGCTGCGGTTTGTTGTCGTGTACATGCAGCTCGCCTCCGTGCAACATGGCTTCTAGCTGATCGTCCAAGTTTGTGTCCTTGGCGGTTTCATTTTTCCAATCTTTGAAAAGCAAAGAAATTTTTTAAAAAAACTTATTTTTCGAAATCAAAAGTCAGACACTTAGATTTTAATAATCATTTATCTTAGCACGATATTAAAAACTGCAAACTAACTTTGTTTTGTACTGAAAGTTGTGAACAACGGAATCAAATGCAAAATTATAAACATAAAAATTATATTCATGTTCAGAAATGAAATCATTTTTTTGATTGATATTTAATTTAAAATAAATTAATTGAAAAACTGCTTATCCGAACATTTTCATCCTTATACTGTAGCCTTTTGACGCGTAGTTAATAACACGTGAACATGTTTGATGTAAACATTCACTCAATCAAAACATTTCTGCAACATATGAACACGTCACATATAAACACGAACAGGTTGTTGCAATGATTTGATGAGGTGTGTGTGTGTGTGTGTGCGTGTGTGTGTGTGTGTGTGCTAACATTCTATCATTATATTCAGGTTTTAAATTATTATGAAAATCATGAGTTTATGTTGTTCATTAAAGAATATATTGGCTGAAAATAAATTTTCTGCGCAATTCAAACTTAATAATAGTGGAAAACATACATTTTAAACTTCACCCCTGTGTCCGTTTCTTAACGCTTAAATAAAAATTTCTTCACAATAATGAAATACTTTATGATTGTTGATCATTATTTAAACAGGAGTTTGTTTTGCATTATTTAAAATTCATTAGAACAAACGAACAATTTATCAGGAATTTTTTTAATGAAATCAATATACATAAAACGCCAACTCATTGAATGGCTGTATATTGAATTTCAATGGTAGTGCATTATGATGGTTTCATTGTCAGTTTGCAATAAAATGTATCGTCATTCGACGAAATGCATCGTTCATTCAATTTATATAGTTGCATATATAAACGAATTTTATGTTTAAAATTTATCAACATCTAACAAAGATACAACTTTGTCACATTTATTAAATTTTCGTAGAAATGTTGAAGTGCTTCCGTATCAAAATTTAATGTTGAACTAAACATAGAACTTGATAGTAGGAGCAGCCAACGCAGCCACTTCAATGGCTACAACAACAGATAACAACCAGTACGACGTTGACGTTAAAAATAAATGGAACATCACTGCTGGAAAGAAATTAATTTCGTGAATTAATTCCATTCGATTCTTCATAACACTTGATGTGCAGCGTGTATTGCCATTCAGCAATCTCATGGTAGGCACTCACTCGTTCAACGTTGCCGCTTGCCCACTGTTCAACCTTCTTCACTCGAATGCATTCAGTTTGCGAACTGTTTGTTTTGTCATGTTGTTGAAAGTTATTGATAATTTTTGTAACTAAAACAACTTTTTATTGATATAGATTGCATTATTTGCAATACGAGTTTAATTTTCGTTTTAAATAGAATAAAAATGGTTCTACTCAACATTGAATAACTCAGATACTACAGACAACATGGAACATGCTTAGTGCTTTTAAACGTTTGATGGCTTCAATGCATCACTTCATCTGGCATATAAAATTTCAAACACGTTTCTCAATAGAAGTTTGATGTAGAGAGATCACAGACATGCGTGTATATTCTATTGAAGTCCTCTTTAAAATAAGCATAAACATCATATGGAAGCAGCGTAATAATGCTTATACAGACGAACGCATATACATGCAAACGCGTCCTCACAATTGGGAACCTATTTGTATGATACTGACAGTAAAACACAGCTTGCATGATCATCACATAGAAGCATGTTTGTGTATGTGTGTGTGTGCGCGTGCATATGTGCGTGAGTATGTATGTAGGTGTGTACACTGGCTTGTATGATTGCGCGCATCGCTAAGAATCCTTAATGCACGTAAATGATGCCTTTGCGTTGCATGCTTTCGCGTTATGGATAACGCATAGGCACTTGTATAAAAATGTCTACGCCATTTTTTAAACAAAACTATAGTTCTATTCGCATTCAAATTCATATAGAGATTATTTGGATCAGCTATCTAATTGACGCGCAAGCTTAAGTTTGATTGTTGAAATACTTGTATGAATTGAAGGATGAAAGTTATTCAAATATTTCAAACCTGTCACCATCGCATGAACGTTAGTAACACTAGAAACGACATCAAATACTTCACTGCGACCTGGCGAGTTTAATTTACAATGCTGTAATTCTACAATTATAACGAGGAAGCAAATAAAATAATAATAAAAAAAATAATGTTATATAAATACATATTAGAGAAATAACAATAATAATTACAACAAAGTTTATTATTCATTTCTTTCGTTCAACTGTCATTCATAGATTTCAATTTTTTATTTTATTGTTCAGTCTACTATCAGCAGCATTGTTATTGGTCATGGTCGTCAGGTCAGCATCGACAGAGATATCATCATTGACATCTATGTCGTTATCATTGTTGCCACGCACCATCAAGATAACAATTCACTTGAGATATCGCCACGTACACAAGCACCGAATATAATAAAGCACGTAAGCCGCCAGCCTCTTATTTATGCATTCGTATTTTAATGCAGCAACTGAGGTAGGTCTCAGCGAAATGGAAGCTGGATGGAACATCATTTTCTCCATTCTTTCTGGATGGAACATCATCCTCTTTAGACACGCGGATGACTTTTTTAAAAATAATAAAAGTGTACAATATTTTAAAGTGGAATTTTTTTCAGAATAAAAATATTGATAATAATCATGTGAATAATTTGTGCAACAATTAAATTATTTGTCGATATTTTTAAAACTTTTGGGTCAATATTAATCAATGAGTCAATATTAATCAATTGATATTCAATCAACCAGCTAGCCATCTAATCATTTACAAAATGTTATTAACGCCATTTAATCAACGTTTAAAAGAAAGCGCACTTAGTGTTTTGAAACGCGACAGGAATCTCAAGAGAGATTGAGACGAAAGGAGTTAGAAAAGAAAATCAGAGTTGTTGAGAAGCAAGAAAACAACAACAGGTTCAACAAAAGAGCATTGTAATGGGGTTTAGAGAAAAATTTAAATTTGGAATAGACTGCGGTTTAGAAATTTATCAATCCGAACCAAAATAAAAACGATGCAGATAAAAACTATCAATAATTTTTAGTAATTTCAAGTCTTAAGCAATATTATCACACAAAATATTAACAAATCTCAGTATGCCATTTTAACCTAATGACAGGCAAACTGATTTATTTAATTGTAATGTTATGACGAATGAAAGAATGAATCATGGGACCCAATGACATAGAATGAAATGACGACTATCGCAATTATCTTTATTTTGTGTTGGGTACAAATTCCGGATCGATCATCAGCAACTCATTCATGCGTGTGTTGTGTATGTTAAATACAAGCATATATGTATATTATTATTATTATTATTCGAAAATTTGTATAGCGCTAATTACAAACAAAATGTTTCTCAAAAGCACTGTCTAAAAAAAAAAAAAAAAAAAAACATTTGAATTGCTACGATAAACCAATTCTTAAAATGTTATAATGAAAACAAAAATGATTTCAATAATTTCTTGAACAATTTTTCTGTCAGTTCGGGCTGTCTTAGATGACTTGGTAGACTATTCCAAACGGCTAGTCCACATACTGAAAAACTTCTCTCAGCCATTTTCAAGTTGGTTTGGGGCACACATAACAAGTTGTTATCATCAGACCTTAAGCAGACATTTTTAAAAGACAGTTGTTTCGGTGCATGCATTTCTTTCAAATAAACTGGCGCCATTCCCTTTATACATTTGAACATGATTGTTGATATTTTGAACAAAATTCTTTTTTTGACCATCAACCAGTGCAGTTCTCTGAATATCGGGGTGACATGGTCAAACTTTTTCGCACCAACCACGATCTTAGCTGCTCGATTCTGAATTGACTGAAGCACAGATAACGATTTTTCAGGCAAACCATAAAATAGGCTGTTGCAGTAATCCAGTCTAGAATGAATAAACGAATGCACTAAACTTTGAATAACATCTTTGGTTAAGCTTTTGCGGATTATTTTTAATTTTCGCAGTTGTAGGGTTGCAGTACCATGTAAAAACTTGATATGTTCAGTCATTGCCAGTCTAGAATCAAAAATGACACCCAAGTTTGTAGCTTTGGGAATAGAGTTTATATTTGAGACCTCAATGATAACTGAATTAATTTTAATTCTAAACAGCTGTTGCCAAGTTCCAACCAGAAGAATTTGCGTCTTACTTTGATTGAGCTTAAAACGATTATTTGCCATCCATTTCTTGATCTCGACCAAACATTTAACAAAACGATCAACTGCAAGATGAAAGTTGCTATTGGATTCTGTGGCAAATAGCTGAATATCATCTGCAAATGCATGACACTCCAAACCATGTAATCCGATCGCCTCAATAATTTCAGAGGTGTAAAGAATAAACAAGATCGGTCCGAGAACCGAGCCCTGTGGAACACCAAATCTTATCGTTTGAACCGAAGAGGTCTTATTCTTGTAGATTACCTGTTGAGTTCTGTTTTTTAAGTACGACCGAAACCATTGTTCGACAGAGCCAGTTATTCCAAATCTATGATTAAGACGTTTTAGAAGAATGCAATGGTCAACACAGTCAAATGCCGAACTCATATCTAAGAATCCAAGAAGAGATGGTTTACTTTTGTTTATATTTTCATGCAACTTAGATAACACATGCAACAAAGCAGTTTCAGTAGAATGATGTCTTCTATAGCCTGACTGATATACCGGTAACAAATTGTTTTTATCTAAGTGTTTCATAAGCTCATTAGAAACTAATCTTTCAATTAATTTTGACAAGAACGACAGATTTGAAACCGGTCTATAATTATTAAGATCAGAATTGTCAAATTGTAGAATTGTAGCATGCTTCAACATAACCGGAAACTCACCAGTACGTAAACATAAGTTTATAAGATCAGTCAAATATTTTGAAAACAATCCTACATATTTTTTGAAAAAGTGTGAAGGAACACAATCCAGTGAACATGTTTTAGATGGAGAGTTCAAAACTGCTTCAACAATTTCGCTTTCGTCATAAACAGGAAAAACTGAAAACAAGTTGCTGCAGCAGACACCAGATGAATGATTAAACTTCTCATCATACACCATCGATTCTCGTACATTTTTAATTTTGTCATAAAAGAATGTAGCAAAATCGTTCGCTTCAAATTTGGTAATTGGAAACTAATTGAAAGGATAATACATCAAA